TATTTTGAGAACAGAACAATATTTTTTCAAACGGCTTGCGTCAAAATCCCTAGAACTCTTTCCTCTATTATATGTTTAAAATTGAGCAAAATCTGACCACCTCGATTGAGCAGAGTCGGTCGGGGCTTATCTGAATTGGCTCATATGTAAAGCACAGTCGATGAGCACATCGTGGTTTACACTTTGGGAGAGGTATACTATCAGAATTAGGCACTATGATTAGAGCAGATAGCCAATGAACGGGCAGGAATGAAAATTGAAGCGAAAAAGTTCAACTATCTCGGTAGTTCGGTGTCAATTGGTTAAATGTCTCAACTCGTACCGAATAATTTTTTAATGCATTTTTTGGTCGACTTGAGTAGAGTAAACAGACATTGAATTTAGGGTGTGGATGCGGGTAGGTGTGGATCGCTCTCGGTGTGGAAATGCGTGCGGGTGTGAAATGGTATAAAAAGCAAACCCAAACTTACGCCTACATCCACATCCACACCCACACTCAGACCCTTGCAGAGTTATAATGGAAAAATTTCGAAACAGAAAAATGATGAAAATAAAAATACTGGAAACGAATACAATACAAATGCAGATGGATAGAAATGCTGAAAACGAGAGTATATTGAAGTACAAATCTTTGCACCCTCATCTTCAATGTTACGTGTTCATCTTCATCTCATATTCTTGTTTTCGACATTTTTCCTTTCTACCTTTTTTCCATCCATTCATTCAAGGAGAAGATTCCAAGTCTGAGCTATATTTGTCCCAAAATCCTTTTAGGTGATCATTAAACAATAGAAATCAAGTTTTAATAGTAAGAACTTGCTAGGATGACTCATCCGCCTAGTACACTTTTTGAAGTACACATAACACTCGAATTTAAATCCGATGTTTTCATATTTATTTACGGGGTGATAGAGAAAACGAAGCTCTATTATCTGTTCTATTTCATTTTTATGCAACTAGTATCATAATAATAAAATTTCGACAAGAACTAGTTTTATGTAAAATATAACTATAATATCGGATCATGTTTTCAGCCATGTGCATTTTTGTTTTCGATTGTTTCTTTGTTCTTTGTTCTTTTTTTTTATCTTTTCTTTCTTCTTTCTTTTTTTGTCTCTTCTAGTAGCTAATCCTTCATAAATATTGTACACGTAGTCTATCATGGGAAATAATAGTAGAATAAAAAAAAGTATCGAACAAGCTCAGCAGCTTTTTATTTCATCAATACACGGTTAAATTTCACATACTCACGAAACGAATTGGATGAGTGTCTTAATATATATTTATATATATATATATATCTTTGTGTAAAGCACTAGGCAGTTAAAAGAGACGAGAAAAGAAACAAGAAAGAAAAGATAAGAGAAGAACAAAGAAACAAGCAAAAAACAAAAATGCACATGGATGAAAGCATGATTCAATATTATAGTATGATTCTATTTGAATAAGGATGAAATAGCGCAGAAAATAGAGCTTCGTTTTCTCTATTACACCATAAAAGAAGAAAATTTTCTCAAGACTTCTGTAAGAAAATAAGGTTCCTTCACCACTACTTTTGAGTACCCCTAAGTATTACTTATCAAATAATTTTAAAATATACCAAGAAAAGATACGCTTTAGTTTCACATTAATTTTACAAGATTTTTCTTTTCTTTTCACTTACTTTTTTACTTGTGTACATTTACTTCTTCTTTGAATTTTTAAAATTTTCATTTGATTTTCAGACAACAAGAAGAAATAATAAATGCAGTTAAGGCCTACCTTAATTTTACTTTTGTTTGGTGACCAAGGAAAGACTAACTCTAGCTACTTGTACATTTTCATAACTCACGGCACTTCAACAAGAACCACTTAACCACCAGTTACAATTGCTAAACGATTAACCTTCACTTCATCATGTGGAATCAATTTCCCGATAATGACATATCTAGTGCTCTGTCTACTTTGGTTGACGATTTGACCCATTTCGATCTTCAGAAATCATCCTTGTGTTCCACCACCATCACTCCTCCTACCACATCTGTTGCTTCATTAGCAGAAGTTGAAGTCCAAGTCGAAGTCGATGAAGCTACCACTCTTCTTAATTCCATTTCGTCGCATTTCTCTGTAAAACCAACAAAGTATGGTGGTCGTGGTTGTTTTGCCAACACTGATCTTGCTCAAGGTACAATTATTCATGAATGTTCTATGCCACTTAGTTCAACTATTGCTCGACCTTTCAGAAAAGAAGTTTGTGGGTCTTGTTTCAAATTTTTATATGGTAAAACTTTAAAATTTAAATTGATGTCACGAAAGAATAAGCAAAATAATTCAACGTCTGTTTCTACATCTGCTTCTGCATCTGATTCTTCATTAGCACTTTATTTCTGTTCTCAATCGTGTATGGACCAGTTTATTGCTTTGGATATAGATGATTTATACCGAGAAAGTTTATTGAATGTGGAAAGTCTTTTCCTTAAAGGATTGAATGAATATCAATATGACCTTGAAAGGAAAAAACAAGAAGAAGACGATATAGAAGCTGAATTAAAATTAGAAAATGAATTAAAACAAGCCAAGGATATTGAATTATTTATCTCTCAGAAATCGCAAGAAGCTGATATCAATTGTCAATTACAATTATCTAAATTAAAACCAAAACAAAGAAAAAACTTTAATAATTTGATTTATTTAATTCCTAAAATTAATGAAAATGAATATATGGAAATTAAATATATTATTGGGATACTATTTCAAATGTATAAACGTGATAATTGTGAAAACAACAAGTTATCATTATCATCAGTATCTTTATCTTCATTAGAACTTCAAATTTTTCAACTTCTTCAATCAAATGAAATTGAAAAAATTCGTAAATATCCTTATTTACTTCATTCTTATACTAATAAAATTTACAAATTCTTAAAAATGTCCACATTGGAAAAACTTCAATCATATATTACTCCGTCTATAATTCGTTCAATCATTGGTAAAAGTTTAACTAATGTCTTTGGAATTTGGTCAATTGATGAACCAGATGAAAATAAAGAACTACTTGGATATTCATTAT